GGGAAGACAACCAATATGCACAAAATCAAGAAAATGCTTGCTTTCATATACAGGTATACTTTCAAATTCGGTTATGGACATGTAATGCTTTCTGGTTGCTTGTCAATGAGAAGCAATGAAGCCATCCTCGTAAGGAGTTCATTGGAGGTAGTAGGAGGATTCTGGTTTGGATTTTGGGTTAGGGTGTAGCTCATGTCAAAAAATGTAGATATAACAAAGAATGGAAAGTTGGTTTTCAAGCAGCATCAGGTTGTGCTAATTTGCGCCTTCACTAATGATACTTTGAGAATAGATATTTGTCATCGTACTTCTTCTTCTCGTAGTTGGTCAGCTCAACCAAGAAGAAACTAAGAAACAAATGAAGCATTGTCACTGTCAAGGTGGTCAATGGGGTCTACATAAGACTTGCAAGCTCTTTTTTCCAACTTTTTCATCAAATCCAAGTAATCCTCCTTTCTCTGATTGTCTCGTTGAAGATGCAATTCTAGAAAACGCTCTCTATGTTTTTCCATGGCTAGTTTGGGTCAACCATGGTGGTAAGGCCCTATTGAAACTAGCACAGGTGTGCATGCCTTTTCATTTACATGACGCATTCCTTTATGCACTCTGAAGATACAAGGTTATGAATCCCCAATATTCTTATTGCTATGTTGTTCCATCCTCTCTCTATCACTCAACGCCAATTGAAAAGAGGCAAGTTTAGTACGTGTGTATGTTAAAAAAAAAAGAAGAAGGAAAATGATGCGTCTCATTTTGGTTTGTTTAGACGAAAAATATTTTTTTATATTTGGTAGTGGTAGTGTTGGGGTGAAGGTAAGGTGGAGGTGGTATGATATGGTGGTGGAGGTAAGAATGGTAATGGTAGTGTGGTGACATTGATAAGATTTTAAATCAGAAAACGATTTTCGCCTTTAAAAAGTGAAAAATATTTTTTACCCAAATAATATTGTTTTTCATTGACCATGGAAAATATTTTTCATTGACTTTCGTTTTTCATTGTACCAAATACTAGAAAATGTTTTCTGCTTAAACAAACTAAGCGCTAGATTAGAAGAACAAGAAAAAAAAAAGAAGAAGAAGTTTACTCCTATTCTAAATCGGTCATGCTATAATGCACACCCTTTTTAAAAGGGTGTGTATAACATGTAAGTTGTGACATTTGTAGTGTTGATCATCAACCAAATATGTTTTAGTTATAACTTAAAAAATTTAAGGAGTTGTAATTAAACACCACATAAACTATAACAAATAATTTTTTTGCTTGTAACCAAAATAATAATTACAATAGATCATAATTAATATTACAATAAATCATAACTATTACCACAATAAGTCATATCTTCACTTGAAATGTCAATTTTGAGATGACGCTTTTAAAAACAAATTTTGCAATCTAATTGTGCATCACCCGAACATTCAAAAGTAAGATGTCAATATGACATGACTTGGCAATGCCAAATTTGCCATACAAAAAGACGTTAAATATTTTTGTTTTCATTATTTTAATAGTGAGGATCAATAAAAGAGTTTCAAAAATATTAGAATAAGAAAAAGATTAAAGTTAATGTAAGAAAATAATAAGTTTGGCATATGGGTAGAGAAAAATTATTGGGTATTCTAAGAATGTCATTTATTCATATTCTTTCATTAATCATCATTGATTATGCCTCATATTCCTCAATCATTCAATGCAAAATTATAAACCCCACCCTCTTTGCCAATTATAATATCCTGGAGTATGTATTTAGATATTTCAAGTTTGTATATGCTAATTTGACACCTAAGTATTCAAAAAAGTTTGGTATACAAAATTTTGAAGGTTTGAGTAGGTAGAGATACCAAAAATATTGCAAATGTCATAAGTAACTAAGACATATGGTAAACATTTTAAATTTGGGTGTGTACTGTAGAATTTCTCATCCCTTATAATTGCAGAAATGTCGTTACTATACAAATTATATGCAGAAATCTACCGCATACACTCCTAAAAGGTGCATATTAATGATAAAATTACGACATTTTATAATTTTTGTTATGACGTTTTGTGATGAGAAAAATTATGAACATTTTTAAAAAGATAAATATAATAAAATTATGTATTATAATTTTTAAATTAATTTATCTTTTTTTTTTCAAGAATGATATACAAGATAAAATTGATAAAAAAAAGACTTCACTCCTTGGAATGGGACCTTGATGTCATTTATGCATTTGACATATTCAAGCATACATACAAATACAAAACAACAAAAAAATATCAATAATGCTAGAAATACATAGACTAAATATAAAATAAGGCATAGATATTTTATAAAAAATAAATCTACATCATGTAAATTATATTTATGTTTAATCCTACATGTACATAATTATTGAAAAAAAATATATGAAATCAAAACTAACTATATAAAGGGAATGGTTTCCCTCCAGTCCAGTCACGGACTGAAGGATATTGTTGGGCCCATAGGGACTCACCACAGGTCCCATTTCGATAATCCGAACCATTCAATGTGTAGAACTCGGGGAGCACTATATGCTTGTAAAAAATCACGTTGATCGAATATCAATAGTTATGTGATCAAATCTGTTTTGTATAAAAAAAATAGACAGTGAAATATAAACGGGATCCGTAATAGGCCCTTACAGGCCCAACAGCACCCTCCAATCCAATCATGGACTGGAGGAAAGCCATTCCCCTATATAACTGCCTGACAATGTTGGTTGACAAAAGAGATGATGTGGGGACCAAATACTATTATTGAATGACTAAAAGGAATAGATCTCTGTGAAATCTGAAGTAATAATGTTTCTTTGTAATAAAAATAAATAAATAATGCAAGGGGTTGTGGCACTTTAATAAGATTTTGGATATAAATCTTGAGGTTCTTGGTTCCACACTTCCTGGGACTAACTGCAAGGAATTTGGTGTAGTAGTCCTAAGATGGCTCTCTAAGTACTGGACGAACCGTATTCAGAATTTAGGTGTAGGGTCGAATCCTGGCAGCTGCACTCCTTTGTTTAAATGGTGTATGCTTTATAGAGTCAGTGCACACATTCGAGATTTGCTTCTCGTCCTACTCCGATTAAACCAACATTAAGTAATTGATTCTAAAGTCAGCGAACAACAAGCTTGGAGAATTTACTCATTAACTAAAAAAAAAAATGATGATAACTCCCTTAACAATGAGTTAAATAGACCTTTCGAATTCTTTACTTACTAAAGAATTCAAGAGTAATTAATCTACAAGCAGCCTGGAATAAAGAAGGGAAGCCCCAAGATGCCTTAAACCAGTTCATAAGTACATACTGGTTGACGGGTCTAGTCTAGGTTATATTTCTTGTGAATTATTTTAAGGCAACTTTTTATTTTTATTACTTCCTTTTGTTGTTGGATTTTTGGTTTCTTGTAAGCTATTTTTGGACTTGGGCCAATTTATTACTTTTTTACGCTTGAATGGTCAACATTCTTCAAAAAATATGAGATTGCTATGAAAAAAAAAAAAATGAGTAATCAGATTTATCCTTAGGCTTCTTTTTTTTATTATTATTTATTAAAGATAGTAAGATTCATCCTTAGTTTGAGAATGTAATTCCTGTTAAAATAAATAACAAAAAAAATTATTTTTCTATTCCAATTTATTCAAAATATTAGAATCATTGAGACTTGGGAATCGCATTTCTACTTCTCTTCAAGATTATTCCTGTCATCCAAACATTGAGTTCCAAGCTTCTTTATCCAAGACTGTTAGATAAGATTGCTACAACTGATGTTTTTATTTGGCAGAAAATATTTTGGTTAATTCCTTTGATGGTTGAGTTCCCTTGTTGCAACTCTGTGTTTTGTAACATTGCAATTTGTGACATTTTTATGGTATACAGAAAGTGAATCAAAATTTTGAATTGTTATTAATTTTAAAGTAAGTCAGTCATGACTTATTGTGATGTTTGTTTTGTTTTGAGGTTTTGATGTTGTTCTTAGTTGGTTTTTTGCCAACATTTTTCTTTTATTTTTCTTTTTCCTATTAGGTTCTTTTGTTGGCCACCTGTATTGATGTTTAGGTTATACTTTATTACTCATCTGCATTATAAAATAAATAAATTATTATAAAAAAAAATACATTTAGGGAAGATAACATTTAGACAACCAGATCAAGAAACAAGGTACACTCAAACGGATGGAACATATTGTCAATGCCAGAGATATCGAGCCAACAAAACTTGAAGGAAAATGGGTTCCTGAGAGAAACAACCAAACATAAAATCTTTGCATTCCAAGTTGAGGTTTAACCTCACAGAGTTTCTCCTTCTCATTCTTAAATTCATCATTTTAGATTACTCAAATCTTATAAAATAAATATCAATTGAATACCAAAATTTTTTTGAAACAAAAAGAGAAATTTCACAATAATGTATGTTCATATAGACTTGTTAGACATAAACAGTGAAATTTTACAGTATTTATCAAGTGGTTATTTATCATGATATATGGTACATTCTATCTGCATCATTCAAGGCCTCTACATCTACCAAACAAAAAACTTAAGTCTTGATGATACTTGGCATATGACAAATGTGATCTGATCATGTATTGATGGTACTTCTATTATTTTGATTTTTTTTACATGATATGTTTGGATGACCCAATAAGCTAAACGATTTGAATCATTGAGATCAATCCTATGGTGGGTCTACAGTCCAGCCAACTAAATAGAATCTCAGTCCATGTGTTAATAGCACAACTACACTAATTCTAAAGAGGCATGCACTCTCATATTAACACAAACATAGTATCTATGTATTAATTTTTTTTTAAAGATAGTATGTATTAATTTTTTTTTTGAAATAAAATAGTCGATAAATTGGCCTAAGCAAATGACACGCGCACAGCACATAATGTTTTTGCGTACAAAATATACCGATATTAAAAAACATATTCACAATTAGAGATACGAATAAAATCTGAAACATACATGCTGTTCTTGTAGAGTTTTTGAATAACATCAACGTGGGGACAACGAAGCAAGCATAGTAATTACAGAAATGACAGTCTGTGTGAGAGTGAGGAGGAGGAGAAAAGCGACTGCAAAAGTGGCAACAGTAACCCACATATTTTTGAAGTAATCAGGCTTCAATGACGCTACTCCTCTGTACCACCATGTCTCGCAATGAGCATTTACTTTGCTGCATAGTTTAGCGTAACAGAAATGCTGCAAAATGATTTTTCCTTTACCCAAGTTTTTGAACATAAGTGCTGCCTCGTCATCACCAAGCATGTTGTCAATAACTTTATTGCGACGAAGTTTGTTCACATCTTCTTTGGATTTGATAAGTAGATCCATGAAGAATGTATAATCGGTGAAATATTTGGGTTTGTCATCTGAGGAATGTTGCTCGTAGGCAATGATGTTACGGAAGAATATTTCTGTCGAATCACAAACCTCAAACTTTGGTATTTTAAAATGACCATGTTCGAAGACTATATCGAACATGCTGACCTCCTTACGCTCCTCGAACGTGACACCAGCCTCCTCAAGCTCTATCACAAAGGGCATTTTAGGACAAGTTTCCTTATGGGACCTGGTGGAGGAGTGCTCTGCATTGATTGTGAGACAAGGATGATGACAAACATTTGTACCAAGTCAAGAAAATGCTTGCTTTCATTGAAATGTCGATTTTCAAATTGGATTTTGTCTCTTCTTGGTAGCATACAAGTGATAGGATACTTAGCAAGCTCAATGAGGGTGGGATGTTTCTGGTTTGGATTTTCAGTCCTCCTGCAACTCATGCTATAAAATTCGGATAGAACAAAGAATGGAAGTTGGTTTTCAAGCAGTATCAAGTCTTGACAAATGTGCATTCTCATCCATGATACTTTGACAATAGTGTTATCACTCACATGACATAATTGTTGTCCTTCTTGTCGTAGTTGATGTTGATGCTTGACAAGAAAATACTCATGAATACCAACAAGAAACTCAATAACAAAGCAAGCATCATTTAACATCATTTTCACAAACTCGCCACTGTTGAGGTGGTCAGTGGGGTTCGCATAATACTTGCGAGCTCTTTCTTCTAACTTCTTCATGGAATCTAAGTACTCCTCATTTCTCTGATTGTTACGTTGAAGAAGCAGTTCAAAATAATGCTCTTTATGTTTTTCCATAGGAAGTAGTTTAGGGTGACCGTGGTGGTAAGGCCCTATAGAAACTAGCATAGGTGTGTATGCCTTTTCATTTACATGACACAGTCCTTCATGCACTCTGAAGATACAAGGTTCATCGGGCAAAGGCTCATTAGCTCTAGGTGTGTTTGACTTCATTTGAAGCCGTATATGATCTGTTACCTCAATCCATTTTTCTTGCTGATGTTCTCTTTCGACAATGTCGATGGTATGTTGTTCCATCGCTGCTTTAACACCTATAATCTGTTAAATTTAAAAGAAAAGTATACCAGCACCAAAAATCTCACCAAAATCACCAACATGAAATATTTTGTTTGCATTTGCAGATGTAAACATTTGTTTCATGTCAATAATTTATGTGGGTTATTTTTCGTTGATCATGGCAATCCTGTACAAATAGTAACACAATTTGTATACAAAAATTTAATACATTTAGAATGATGTGTTTTCTTAGATCATAATTTGTTTACTACTTGATGTGTTGGGATATTAATACAAGAGTAATGATGTAAAAATAAAGTTTACATGCAGAGTGATACGACCCTTTATGATACTTTCATCCTAAATTATAGGGTAAATTACACTACCTCCTTAGGGTTAAGTAAAAAAACCCGAAACCCCCCTATCATTCACTTTGGGATAATGAAACCCCTTATAGTTAATGGCAAAGTGTAAAAATGGATGGAGATAAAAGAAAATATAAAAGCACAAAAATAGCCCTGTTATTTCCCCTCTCACTTTTCCCTTCTTCTCTTTCGTTCTCTTCTCCTTTCACACACCGTCCTTGCAACCTGAGGAGAACTGAACAATCACCACCACCCCAGCTGACTCACATCAAACCCAATATATTCACCATATACCATTGGCTGGTACATGTAGAGACCCAAATGACAATGTTGTTTAGATACTGGACACTTGCTAAAAAATCTAGGTATGAAAGAATTGGAAAGAACCCCAATTGAAAATGAAAATCATATTGTTAAGTCGTCGTGTTCCTAGAACCTAAAGCGGGAGATTCAACAAAATCTGCAGTTCTACAGTGGGTATCTAAATACTTTGCTCTAAGTAAATATTATAAACTATAAGCTTTAAATTGGGAGTGAAGCTCCATCCTTTGTTTGGAGCAATAGTGGGTGGCCATTGAAAATTTGAAGGGAAGTGAAGGGCATAATTGTCCATTGGGCACTCAAATAGCAGGAACAAAGCCTGTAAGTCCTTTCTTGCCACGTGTGTCACACATACTATTAAGTTGGATGAAATTATTAATCATTGCAGTTTGGTAGACAATACAAGGGGTTTACTGTAACAAAATAAACATTAGGGGGTTGTGTGTTTTTTAGGTTTACCTCGAGGAGGTAAAGTGCAATTAATCCTAAATTACATTAATGATTATGAGCATACCACATCATATCACCCGGTTGGGAAGATGAAGAACAACAACGGAGCAAACACCGAGAGTTCCTAATTGTATTTTGCTCCCTCAAAAATTTCTATATGTGATTCAAGGAAGATGATTGACTAGTCCCAAAAGTAACCATGATGCTCCCGGTCAACAAAAAACTGTAACATACAGCAACGCCTTAGTAATGTGGAGATTAATAATCCATATAATTAGTGTGGTTATCCTGAATTAGTGAGATAAAAATTTCCTCTTGTAAACGTTTGTTTTGCAATGAACATGGAAATTATATGTTTGCTTTGCATTATTAGTTGTAGGTCTAAAAAAAATCGCTAATTTTGTTGGATTACAAAAATTGCAATCTAACAATAGAATGTGAGTCCCATAAATTAATAATCTTAATTCCTAACTAGCTAATAAGGTAGGTTAACCTTCTTCAACCAGTAAAAATTTTCACTGCACCACCAATTGGTTGAAGCCTCATACGACTACCCAACAATTACCAGTAATTCAGATAGTTTATAATTGTTTGTTCAAAATCAGAATATACAATGCATAAATAAATCTTAAAAATTCCAAACCATAAGATTAATCTTCCTCTTGACTCTAACTTTGTCTTCAGATTACAGCAGATCATACAGGGAATGTTGGGGCAATCGTAGAGAGAGAGAGAGAGAGAGAGAGAGAGTTGATACCGTCACCGATCACCGTGAAGCTAGGGCTAGAAATCAAGGGTTCAGATGAGAGCTGCATTCTCTCCCTTTGTCGTTCACCGTTCATTAATTGTTGTTTCTCCTCCGTCAATTGCCGTTCGTGGTCGATAGATCTGCGTTGCTCGTCAATCCCTTGTTTTGTGTTGTGTCGTGTCACGTCGTGTCGTGTTTTGTATTACACACTGATTTATTTATTTTTTCATCATTAATTGAGATAATAATATAAGATCACATTTTTGTGTAAGACTCTTATATTATAATATTATTCACTCTTATTTATTGAGTTTTTCAAAAGGAAATTTAGTCAAAATCTCTTAGGATTATAAGTTAGCGTGTAAATCACAGTTCAAAATATTTTATTTTTTAAATCTTCTAAGCAAAAAGTGTGTTCTTTATGAAGAACAGACAAATATTTTCATATTGTTTTAAACAATTTTTCCCTATCATATATATGTCTGAGAAGTCGAAACTTCTTCATTGATCTCTCTCTTTCTCTTAGAAAAAAAAGCAAAGCAGATTAACAAAGAGAGAAAAGAAAGAGAAGACGACGATTGAGGAGAGAAATAAGAACATACGAAGAGCTATTATGAAAAACTCATAACCATAGCCATCCATCGTCTATCCTTCGTGGCGGCGTGGTCCATCAGAGCCCTCAGTAGGATCTTTCATCGCTCTGAATTTATTATCATTTCCAGATTTCTCAGTCATTAACAGTGGTTGGAGAGAAAGAGATGCAAAGTTTATTGTATTAATTGACTATATAAATTGATATTTTATGATGTGCCACTGATGTACCATTTTTGATTTTCATAAAAAGGGTTTTTGAAGCTACGATTGAGTATTCTACGAGTATGTATGAGTTTTAATTTCTAGAAGTAGTGCCAGTTTATATGCAGGGAGGGTCGTACTCTGTTTTTGTTGTTGATGTTCTGCTCAAACATACAGTAAAATGTTCTTGTCAACTAGAGTAACATGTTACTATTTATGTCAATTTCGATGGTAATTTTTTTGTTAGCTAGAGTAACACTCTTCATTCTTGATCCTCCAAGGCATCACCGTCCCTGTCCCCACCCCTAATCCTCAGCGGGGAACCCATACCCCCCGCCCCCTAACGGGGGGGATCAGGTTTTCCCGACCCCGAAAAATACATAACTCTTTTTTCTTTTTTTTTGAATTTTACATATCCCATTTTATTTATTTATTTTTTTGGATAAATTACAAACACATTCCTGAAATTTACTTAAATTACAAATTACCCCTATGATTTTAGAAATTACATTATGCCCCTAAGGTTTCTAATTTCATAACAAATAGATCATTTTATTAATAAATTATCAAGTTAATTAACAGTTTTTAATAATGTTAAAATTTTATTTCAATTAAAAATTTAGATAATTTTATTATTGTATAGGTAAACAGTTAGAAATTTCACCTTTTCAATTAATTTTGTTAAATAAAAAATTATGACAGGGAAGTATTTGTAATTTTTCAAACTACAGGATCTAATTCATATTTTAAGCAAACCTCAGTGGTGTATTTGTAATTTACCCCCCCTTCTTTTTCTTCAGACTAATCAAAGGGCCAAAAAGAAGACAATATTTTTTTTTTTCAGGCACCAAAGTTCAAACTAAAAACATATACATATAAAACTTCAAATTTTCAAGGCATACGCATCTACCCAGATCATAAATTAAACCTCAAACTTGATTTAAAATAAAAATAGCAACTGAAATTACAAGAAGTACCTAAAAACAACACAGAAGTCAAAACAAGAATCAAAAGAAACTCTCTACTCAAAACACATTCACAATTTGAGAATCAAATAAAATAGGCTTTTGCATACCCGGGTTCTTTCCTATTATGCTAATTTCTCAGATTTTTCTATGGAGAGAGAGAGAGAGTGAAAGAAATTCCTCTGATTTCCTAGAGAGAGAGAGAGAGAGAGAGAGAGAGAGAGAGAGAGAGTAAAATGGTGTCGTGTTTGTGTTTGTGTGTGTGTTCTGGTGAAATGAAGCCTCCGAGAGGTTCGACGTTGATTTTTATGGAGACCACTGAGAGAATAAAGTTAAATGCCCCCAAGTTGGTATGTAAGTACATAACTGCCACTGTTGAAAAAACCAGATTAAAGTTCAGTATAGAGGGGTATAATAGTAATGTTAGTTCAGGGTAGAAATGGAGATGGGACGGGGGAACCTATCACAGTTCTCAGCCTAAAAATTATCAAGGATTCATTTTTAAATACTATCCCACCCTGTCGGGATATTTTTCAGAGAAAAATCATTCTAATTGGAATCGAAGGGCTAGATCCCCATTAGGTCAGATTTAAATTACCATCCCTATCCTGTATCCCCCTTGGCTCCTACTCTGTTACCTCTCATGACTCGAGTCAACTATCCACCTAGAGATTTGCAGCACTCATCGTCTTCCTTTGTAACCAAAAATTTATAAATAGAAAGTGAAAATCTATTTACTTTCACTTGTTATTAGGTCTCGTCTAAGAATATGTTATTTTAATAATTTTTTGACTTTTTATAAAAAGATGTGCAACAAAATAAAGAGAGTGATGTGACAAGTTATAGTGACTTTTTAATTTTTCAACTAAAATATGTAGTTGACAAACGAGACCAAAAGAGCAACTTGAGGCATTTTTGTTACTATAATTAATTTTCTCTTTTTTCAAAAGGTCAAAAGGCTCCACATTAGAAAAGGTAAAATGTCCATTTTTATTTTAACTCTTTACAACTAAGTAGCCTTCATTGAGAGGCAAAAAGGTTTTCTACTAAAATTGTTTCCTCCATCTAATCAAATACTCTTCTTTTGATTGGTTTTGTGTTTATATATTACATCTAATTGATTTGATTTTGTATTTGTATATTATCATTTAAAAATATGATCGTTTGAAAATATTTTTTTAATAATTTAATATATATATATTTAAATAATTTAATTAAATATTAAAAAAATATTTACAAATGTCACGTCAACATATGTAACATGTCATAAAAAAATTTATTTATGTTTATAATATTTTCTTTTAAAAATTAGTTAAATTAATTTGATTGATTAGCTAAAATAAAGAGTATGGTTAGAGTATTCACTAGCTAAACTAG